CCTGATTGTCTTTATGATTCCAATCTGACATACATGTCCATTCGGAATGGACATAAATTCCAAACCGACATACAACATAAATCGCAGTTTAAGCGTCACTAATTGTTGGTAGATTTAATTCGAGTAGGAATTACCGAAAGGTTCCGCCTAAATCTCAAGGTCAGTATTCCGCCGCTCTCCCAGGAGTATTGGCTCGACAATACGACTATGTGTGTTGTCAGCATTAAGACGATGTTTAATAGTAATTCAGCATAGTTCATACGTTCACTGAGCGAGAAATAACCATGATGCAATAAATTTTGTTATACAAGACTGTTTCAAAATAACTTTGCATGTTCAAGTCTACACATCGGAGTGTCTTCGTTATCCAGCAGTGTTATATTTGATAGTCGCACTTTCATTATTTGGTTTTGTGAAGTTTGAAGGTTGTTCGTATAAATGTTCATGATTGTGGTACAATTAATTTAAGTCATGCGCTATTGCATAATGGTGTTTCGTGCAGTGCATGAATTTCATGCCGAATATTACCATGGTCATGTGGTTTATAGATCTATACACTAATAATTGGGAAAATTTTTCTAGGAAATCCTTTTCGGCATTATTCTCCAGCCAATGGAGTCCGCCGCATTTAGCGGGATTACATGCGTGAATTTGATGAGCCATAAGGAAATAAATCAGGAAAGAGTAATGATCCAAATTTGGATCGCTAATTGATATTGGAAGATTGTTGCCGTCGCCAGAACAAAGGAAACCTGCTGCTAAACGTGAATACATTGAGTCTTTGTTATGTACCTCCTGTGCAAAGTCAAAATTTGGGACAACCACATCATTTTGTTGAAACGATGTTATTGAGGTATCTTGCGAAACGGGAAAAGCAGTAGGCCACACAGACATTTCTGATGTATTATTTATCTGTAATAAACGGTTGGCAAGAGAGGAATAACTACGGAGATATGGGTTATTTTGTTGAAGCCAACTTACAACAGGCTGTAAAGAACGATGGAACCAATTGCTGTCATTAGATAACTAGAGCAGTTGTGCTGAGCCCGGCCGACTATGTCGACCGGGCGAAGTACGACGAGTATGATAATAGTCTAAGTAGCTACTAAATTAAATGTGAGTCAAAATATATTAATTAAGAGTATAAATTTTATTTAATTTTTTTTTACGATTATACTCTTTAATATTAATTACGCTTGGATCAGTAATAAATGCATCCTTGTGTAATGACGCTATGTTAAAGACTGTCCGCTCGCGATAGTTACAAAAAAAAAAAAAAAAAAAAAAACTCGCGATAGTTAAAGATTGTCCCACGTTGGACAGCGACTGATAGATACGTAATATTAGGTAATGCAGGGCCTTGCGTATTATTCCAATCTTAAGACACTTGAACGGATAGTGTCTCTTTGTCAAAATCGGTGACAATTCCAATTGTTTTATTTCAAACACCCTTTTCTATAAAAGAATTATTTAAGAACATTACTCTTGCTCCCTGCTGTATACGTAATGAAGAAGGTAAATTTGCTTTGAGTTAAAGTCGGACTGCGTCATTTCAGTCAGCTGTCTGTAAAGTAGTCGAGTGTCTCACAAACCATAAATTTATCATTTTCTACAGGCAAAAATTGATTTTGTGAATCGCGTATGAAGCTTTTGCAGACGAGTAGTTGGTTGCCATTGCGGTATTGGTGAAGACGCAATACTAGTGTCGGAAAATAGAGTATCGGATGC